GACAACATCTGGAGTGTTGTCTGATACTGCTTACCTTCCACAGTGTTTGTCTTCCTTTGACTTTGTGTTCATCTTGCCCCGTGTTTGCAACTGTTTTATTAAAGAGAGTACTTGATTTGACGAGGACTAGGTCCACAGCCTCTGATTAAAAAGCCAGTCCAAGACTTGCAGACTGACCACATGCATTTTCCTACCTGTTTGGAAAAAAATCTCTGTTCACACCCTTTAGGTTCCTTCTTTTATCTCCAAATGGACAAAAAAATGCTTTCTTTAGATTTTGCTCCAAAATATATGCTCATAATAATTTCCTTCCGGTTTTTTTTTTTTTTATTATTATTTTTTAATGGCACCGAAAATGGGTTTTCTGTGTTTAAGGTGGATTTGTTGCTAAAATCAAGAGTGATTTAAAACGAGAATTTAGCATTTTGACTTCTTAGGTTTTAGGGGAGGGAGTGGGGTTTAATGGTTGCCATAGAAATATGTTCTATCTTATTTTTCTTTTTTTTTGTATGAATGTAATTCTTCATTCTTGTCATAATCAACCTGTGAAGTCACTTTTAGAAATTAGTTCTTTTTTTAAATCCCAAAATGTTGCTTGTTGTTTATGTCCTCCTCCCAGTATTTCAATTATAAAATAAAAATTTAAATTAAAAGCCCCAATCTGCACAAATCGAATGTCGTCCAAACATGACATCCAGGGACCAGCAGGGTTAAAGTTTTCTCCTGGTCTAATATTGTGTTAAAAACCAGCATTGTTTTCATGTAAAGTTTGCTGCTGTTTCCCTTTTCTTGTACTGTTATCTTCTTTTTAGTTTAGGAAATTCCCAGAACAGCCCGGTTCTAAGAAAAATAAACTTCTTTTTTCCACCTCTGACATTTGAAATTTGAAGCACATCCTCTCCTTGATGGATTCCAACGATATCCTGACTGAAAGTTTTCTTTTCTCCTCCAACATTTTCTGGATTAATCAAAGTTTTAAATCAATGCCAGTCAATGCAGAAATGTTTCATATGCACAGATTGGCTGTTCCTCAGTATCCTACAGTTATCCGGTCATGATTAGATTTACATCAACTTTAGGTGTAAAAACTAAGGATTTATTTAAAGATCCACAGCTCCCTCTATTGCCAAACAGCTGGTGCATCAGAAAGAGAACAACTCAATGAAATGGGACGGTTCTGTCTACAAGTTCACGTTAATCTTTCCAGCCAGTCTTATGATGAAATATTTGTTATTTTATTTTCTTTTAAATCAAGTCTTATCAAGGAGACATTACAAGTGACAGCTCCTCATGTGGGTCAGATCAATAAATGTTTACATCTTTAGCACAATGTGCCAAAGCCCCTTTCTGATTTTGTGTTAGATGCTTGTTGGTTTTATCAGCTTTGCAGATTGGTGTCTCTCTTGTAATGGTTGAACATTACAGACAGGCCACCCTTAGCTGCTGAACTCATGTCAGCTATGGATCTTTTTTTATTTTTTGACATATTTTCTTTGAGAACGTGTTCCTTTTATCTCTCCATGTAATAGAAGATCAACTGAGCCATTTTTTTTCTTTTTACATCTCACATGGGCTCCTTTCTTTGTTCTTTCCATGCATTCTTATTCTTCAACAATTTTTCTTCTGTTTTTTAAGAAGCTTTTCTTGCATCAGTGTGATCAGTTTTAAATTTCCAAACTTTCAATTTCCCTGTCAAAAACTCCCAAGACGTCCTGCTCAGAAATGTTCAGATGTCTGTTTTCTGCAAGTGAACATGCATAAGAGACAAGACACTGTTAAAGGTTTATTTACCAGAGATGGCAGATGCAGCAATCTGTGAACAATGTGCTTTTGTTGTTGATCCTGGTGATGACAGTACTAAGATTGCTTGACTCGTGGGGGGGTGGGGGTTCACACGTGTAAAAGTGTATATTTTGTATATACATACAGCCGTGTATGTACAGTTTGTACATATATACACACAATGTACTTGACAGCAGTTCTCAGTTTTGTTGTCGGACTGTACGGCTTCTAACCGTTCCCTGTTTTATAGAAACTGCAGAGATTCAACTTTCAATGAGGAGAACCGATTAACTTAAATAAAACATTTATATATTCAAACTAAATGTTGTTATTTTTGGTTATAAATATTTTTTACAAATCCTCTGGACAAATGTCAGCAGTAGCTCTGTAAAGCTAAAGCTGTTTATGGGGTCATTTGCATTATTTTTATATGAACTATAAGGTTGTAGTGTAATAAGAAGGAATATTGTTCAACTAAGAGTTTAATTTGATCTTAAAATGTGAAAACTATAAAGTGACATAAATCACCTTCCATCAAGTATGATACCCATATTTGTAAAGCTTTTTAATAGATTTTATTGTAGATCTAATAACATTATATTCTTGCATAAAAGACTCATGAGATTAACTTGAATTGAAACTTATCCTTAATTCAGCATCGTTCTCAAGTATCCACACACTTCAAACCTTTCCACATATCATATATTTTATGACAAACAATACATTTGATCTCATTGTGAAATGGAAGTACAAGGATTCATGTTTTCTTATTTAGTTATTGAAATGAGTAAGCTAGTATGACCTAAGAAGCATCCTGTCTGCTAAACAGATCTGGAGATTTTTGAAAATTCTTATTTGCAAAATCGATTAAGTCCAGCCAGACCAGATCTATCTGAACACTGTTTAACAAATCATGAAACATTCTCTATGTGATTAGTTCTAGACTTTAACTAATATGACTTTATCTAAACTTATCAAAAAAAGGATTGGTGCATCTTTTCCATGCCTCCCCTTCCCTACACACCTGAAACAAATGCTAAACTGCACCTTGGTGTACATACAATCTAATGACATAATATTTGATACAGAGTGTAGCAGAGACCCATATAATCATGCAGAATACCGGCAATCAAGGGGTGAAAATTGAGACCCATTTTCTAAACCATTGTAGATCTTTCAGTGTTTTCAATGCTGTTGTCCTGCTAGAAGGACCTTCAACCCATTTCCAATTCTACTGCAGCTTTTAACAGTTCTTCCAGTATTTCATTTTCCATCCACCCTTTCTGGCTTTCTCCCAGCATTGCTATTTTTTAACATATAGGAGAGGTATGCTATGGGTGGGTCATAAAGCGTAGTCTTATTTTTACTCTCCAAACATAATTTTGCATTCAGACCAAAAAACAAAGATTTTGGTCTCCTCTGTCCAGAGCATCTTTTTGCAGAAAGGACCTCTTCTGTTTTTCTTTAAAATGTAAAAAGAAAACCCTTTCAGGCTCAAATTAAGTTGTAGTTGCAAGAAAAATCTGATATGGGGTAGTAATATACAATTCAGAATTTTTTTGAGAGAGAGACCTCCACATGCAATGAATTCTGGGATGTTGCAGATTTGCAACTGTGGCCCGTAGTGTTAACTTGAATATCACAAACAAAAAATTAACAAAACAAAATTCAAAAAAAAAAAAAATTCTCTCACAAAATTACAGAAAACTTTTTCTCAAACTTTTTCTCTGCCGACATCTCAAAACCTCTTAAGTAGGCAGTTTCTTTTAAACTGTTGCTCAAAATATAGGCAAACTAGTAGATAAATCATGTAGCATTCATGTAGCAATCATGTAGTACCTGTTTGTGCACACGTTGCGAATCCACAACATTGAAATCGAGATGCCTCTGGTGAAAAACCCAAAGGAGATTAAATCTACTAATTGGCATGTGTCATATCTATACACATTCACGATTCATCTTAAGTAGTATTGATTTCAAAATAATAGAAATTGGTAGTGATACTTACATGAAATTGGTGCTTAGAAAATCTGTTTTAGTGACACCAAGGACTCAGCCATGTTGAAAGTGAGTCAGCAGTGCTATCTGGTGAGCTGGAGAGAAACTGTTGCAAATTCATAACCAAGTCCTTCTGATGTACTTCTGAGTAACAAAAGCTCTTAAAATATGGATGGGGAGTAATTAGCTAAGTGGCATTTAGCTGTTGCAAATCTGCAACATCTGCCTTGAGAGGGTTAAGCTTACAATTGTCACATTCTTTCTTCTGATCTGTTTTCTTCTATGATTAACCCACTTCTAATCAAGAATGTCAATTTAGGTAGATTGCTAAATCTAGTTTGGTTCCTCTGTTGTTCCATACTCTAAAAATATCTAAGGTTTTTCCACATTTTTATTTTGTTCCTGAAGCTGCTTTAAATATCCTCACAGCTTTATCCATGACTTGTTTTACTATGTTTCTTGGTTTCAGATACTGCTTTTCTAACAAACATCTGACCCCTTCACACAACTGAATTTCCAGTGAAATGGAGCAACACAGAAATTCACTGCTAAACAATAATAAAATAATAATCATAAACTCTAAAAAATATATATTTTTTATTTAAATTATTAAATGAGAGAAAGCTAAAACATATGTAAACCACCCTGTTTAGATATGTATAAAAATTTTTTAGATTTTGTGTTAATTGAATTGCATTAAATCTTAGTAATCAAGGTTCATGTTGTATCCTTAACCCTTTATAGGGCACTTACTGAAATCCTTTGAAAATCCACATTTCAAGCCAATAGTGTTATTGGAATCCTTCTTTATTAGCGTGTTGTCTTTTTTCCTTGACTTTCAAACATTTCAATTAGCTTTGTACCTTTTTTTCTTTGACTTTTTGACTTTTTAATACATTATGTACCTTTTTTTTCTTGACTTTTTAACGTTTTTGTTTTTCAATTTAACTTCCAGTAGGTCATATATCATTCAAGGTCTCATCTAATTGGTCAAATGCCAAAATAAGATGTACAGCCTTGTAGCAGCATGTTTGCTGAACGGCTGGATATTGATCTTTTGCTTCTAGACCTCACTGAGGGATGGGACGGACCTAATTTGTAAGGGGGATGCAAGTGATCAGAAATGGTAACTTGCCCTATAAAGTCTTTAAAAAAAAAAAGCAAAGCAAAGCTGCAGTTCTATTGTTTGTCCAGCAGGGGGCAGAACTTGTAGTCCTCCGCGGTGTGCCGCCGCAAAGGAAGAACTGGGCTCAGACTGAAGCGGATTATCTCACTCAGCAGACCTTCTGTTGGAAGAGGGGAGCGTCTGAGTTGGAAAATAGAAAAACTAACAAAAACCATGAAGAACGAAGGCATAGAGGGGACAGAGAAGTTCCTGAGTCCGGACAGAGGCAGAGGCCTGCGGGCGGTGAGGCACTTCGCGGTAGGGGAGCTGGTGTTCGCCTGTCCTGCCTACTCCTACGTGCTTACGGTGAATGAAAGAGGGGCTCACTGCGAGCACTGCTTCACCAGGTAACCTGCTCCTCAGCCCCCTGAAAACTGCAGGGGAAACACGTTGAAACTGAAGGGTTTAGCCAGTTTGAAGCGGTGTGTTAGCCACTCAGGCTGTTTGATGCTACAGCAGGTGGTGCTGCTCTAATAAAAGGGCTCAGTGATCGTTCACCTGCATCCTGCTGCAGGCTCTGCTGCTGGCAGAGGCAGGTTCACCTGCCTGGACCATCTGAAGCTGGACAGTGTAGGTAGGATATCAATAAGCTGTTGGCACACCAATGGTTAAAATATACAGAAAGACTGAAGTTTAGTTGGTAAATAAATCCTCTTATGTTTACCACCACACCAGGTCCATCATAACAATATGTATAGGTAAGTTAATTGAAGGAGCTTCAACTGACATGTGTCCCACCCAGGCTTCCGTTGAACCAGCAAAAGGTTATGGTGCTAAATATAGCTGACCATGTGTCCGAGGAGAGAAGAAGGCCAGGGTGCATATTTCTGTTAAAGTGTGGGTTGAATGAGAGCACAAATATCTATTCTTTAGACATGTCAATCCCTCTTAAAATTTGATCAAAATAATTTTATTTTGTCAAGCTGTAATCTGGCTTTCAATGCTTTAGTAGAATATGATTCTCCATTTTTACCAGGGATGCATTTATATGGGTTTTTGGTCAATAGTTTCTTTCTAACCAACTTGTTCTGATTTTAAATTATTTAGAAAAACAAAATTAAACTGCAAATATTTTTGATAGAGAAGTAATTATCTATTTAACTGAAATCTGGTTTTATTAGATTCTAAACTGTTTATTATGCTCTCAGTCCAGTGGATATTGACAGAAAATTCATCAACACATTTTGTGGCTAGAGCAGTGCTCTTGTGCTTTGAGAAGGTTGCAAGTACCGATCCCCACAGCCTGCACTCTGGGTTCCTGAGCAAAACCTTTAACCCCCGGGCGCCACACAATGGCAGCCCACTGGTAGATTTCTCCAGTGCGAGATCAATAAAGTTCAGTTATTATTATATGAAGGATTTCTTAGGTCAGCCGTCCTTTGTTTAGCTGTCGGCTTTTGATGCTAGTCATCAGCTCATCTTGTTTTTCCTTTATTTCAAGATTAAATACAATAAAAATATAACTGATAAACTGAATTAAACCTGTATTCAATACAGGATAATTAAGTAGAGGTGGACAAATTATTTGTTTGTTTACTTAATAATCAGTGGAGTATTAACTTTATTTTTGTAAAGTGTTAATCAGGGTTAGATCGTCAGGTTTAAATGCTTTAATTTAGATCTAATAAAGAAATAATGACTTTTTTTTCTCTTTGCAGGAAAGAAGATCTTTCTAAATGTGGTAAATGTAAGCAGGCCTACTATTGCAATGTTGACTGTCAGGTAAGCAGAGCTTCATTTTTTTATATGTGTGGTTTCTGCCTCCTTTGCCACAATTCAGAGGAACCATCAGTGAACAGTTTTAAACTAAAATGTTGTTGGGAGTTTGGCAGATTCAAACTATTTATTCATTTAATTAAAACCAGAGGATATTAGGTTTAAAATTAATGAGTGATGTCTGTTGTTTCATTTGTTCATGTATTAACTTTTAAACCTGAGTTTTTTATTTTTTCGACCTCCTGTTTGCTTTTATCTCCTCAGAGAGGCGACTGGCCCATGCATAAGCTTGAGTGCGTCGCCATGTGTGCATATGGAGAAAACTGGTGTCCATCAGAGACGGTCAGACTGGTGGCCAGAATCATCATGAAACAGGTAGTAGAACCAGATGTAGGAGAATCTTCACAGCTCTGTTTAGCAGACATGCACCTTCTGTTCATTTTTAAATGACTTGTTCAGTTGCACATTTATTTAACAAGGTAAAGAACCTTTCGCAGTCTGTAGAATCCGTCGCAGTCTGTGGCATCCGTCGCAGTCTGTGGGATCCGTCGCAGTCTGTGGCATCCATCGCAGGATCCGTCGCAGTCTGCGGGATCAGTCGCAGTCTGCGGGATCCGCCGCAGGATCCGTCGCAGTCTGTGGCATCCGTCGCAGGATCCGTCGCAGTCTGTGGCATCCGTCGCAGGATCCGTCGCAGTCTGTGGCATCCATCGCAGGATCTGTCGCAGTCTGCGGGATCCGCCGCAGGATCCGTCGCAGTCTGTGGCATCCGCCGCAGGATCCGTCGTGGTCTGCGGGATCCGCCGCAGGATCCGTCGCAGTCTGTGGCATCCGTCGCAGGATCCGTCGCAGTCTGTGGCATTCGTCGCAGGATCCGTCGCAGTCTGTGGCATCCGTCGCAGTCTGTAGGATCCGTCGCAGTCTGTGGCATCCATCGCAGGATCCGTCGCAGTCTGCGGGATCCGTCGCAGTCTGCGTGATCCGTTGCAGTCTATGGGATCCATCACCTTTGTGTTTTTCTGTTTCCTCCCATCAAACTTTAGTTTTAGCAGTCGTCCCTTCCAGTTCTTTTAGAAGAAGCAAAGTAAAGAATATATTTCTAATCTATTTTACATAATAGGTAAAGCTGTCTCAGTTTACAGTGTGAACTGAGAAGCAGCAGTTTAATCCAAAATATAGGAAGGCAGGGATGTATTTTTGCCAGGCTGCTTATTGGCAGGAAAGCAAACCACTCTACCACGGTCCTCAAACATGGCGGTGCCTTCCAGTTTGAGTGGGCCTGAGTAAAACAGCTATTTTTAACAGCAGAAATGTGGGCATTAAAACGACTTATCCAACTGAGACTCATACTGAATATTTTAAAGCTTTTAACACTTTTCGCATCCTGAAATATATTCATTTAGTTCTGAATTTAAACAGATCTGCAAAAAGAAAAATTTAACTCAGAATGTAAAGATTTACACAATCAGGCTATAGTCTGTATAACTTTGAGCCTGATTTAAAAACTGTTTGTATTTTGTTGCATAATTATGTCGTTTGCATATTTATGTGCTCTGATCAGAATATGCTTCTTTGTCTAAACTGTTCTGTTGAAGAGAGTCACGACAGAGCGGACCCCCTCAGAAAGACTGCTCCTCCTTAAAGAGTTTGAAGCACGTAAGTTATCATCCGACTCTGCAAATTAAATCACAAGTCTTTAGTTACATATTCATGCACTTTTAGTTATGTGGTGTGTGTTCGTTTGTTCTGCTCAGTGTGTTCTTGCTGTGTGTCTGCAGTTTAAGCTAAGCGTCTATTAATATTCTCCACCATAGCCTCCAGTCCCGATTCTGTCTCTTTCACTCAGAGCTCTGGGACTTAAATCCCAAGTTACTGGATGCCTTAATTTTATTATTTCTCTCTGTTCCCATTAAAAGCTGCCCCGATCCCTTTAGCAAGGTGCTTGATCGGGATTGTACTCTGATAGCTGAACAATAAGAGATTTTCTACATGTTTGGTGTATCTTTTTGTTGTCTCTTCCTGACTTCCTGGTTTGTCACCTTTTTTTGCAGATCTGGATAAGATGGACAGTGAGAAGGAAGAGATGAACCAGGCGGACATAGCAGCTCTGCACCATTTCTACTCCAGACACATCAGTGACCTGCCCAACGACCAGGCTCTCACTGAGCTCTTTGCACAGGTAAAAACAGAACTAACAGCATGAGGCTGCATTTATCTCCAGTCTAGGAAATACATCAGTTCCACACCGGTATCCTTTCCTAAATAAGTCACATTTTTATAACACATTTCACCAATGAGAACCTGAAATGGACCTTTCCACATTTTCCTTGTTTCAATCACAAAGTTTGACATATGTCCTTAAAGACTGCGTTCACCAACCTTTACTGTTAAACCCTTAAAAAACGATGTAACTGTTTACATTCACAAGTTTGATCCTGAAAGTTAATCTATTCAGTCACTACCTAAACCTTAGTAAAATCTTTTGGGATACATCTCCAAGTTAAACCACTAAAGAGCAGCATTCTTAAGTCTTGGTTTGATTTAGGTTTGGTTTTTGACTTAAAGACAATTCTTGTACAGGAAGCTGAACATCTGCACCGAACTTCTTTTACACAAGGATGGTGAAGGAAAAAAACATCTTAAACATTTTTTTTTCTGTGTCTTTTTAATACATTGCTGCACAGAACTTGTAGAACAGAACAATGGTAATATTGCAAGTCATATTTTCCTTTTTTATCTAAAGCACAAAGCAAAAAAACACAACCGCCTTTTATATAGAAAACTATTTTAATGACAAAATAAGCTTATAGTTTTAATAGTTCATGTTACTTCTCTTGCTTTATGATTGATGATAGAAGAAATAAGGACAAAAAAACTGGTGTCATATTATAAAGGTTTCAATATGTATTTTTGCCATTTTTTCTTTCTTAGTTGTAATCACACTAAACTGCATTTAAGTTTGCAATTCTGTAACAAAACACAGTATGTGTGATGACAGATGTTGCCTTTCAATAGACGTGAGCTGCAATATGCAGCTTTATTTGTATTTTTCAGCAGATGCAGAGGAGTGCATGTTGGGTATTTTTGACTGGATCCGGTCTGCAGCTCTTATCTCGTTAATTTGATCCTTCTGGAAGAGTTGGATCGTGTTCGCTTTTACGCTGTGCTAATGGAAACAGCCTCTCTCACCTCTTATCTCAGAACTACATTAAATATCCTGCAGAATGTCCTCCGTCTCATTGGAGCTCTCACAGGACTTTAGTGAATGATGCTAGCTTTAACATTCTGTATTTCTGCTCATGCTTTCTCTTCTTTACTTGTTTTCTTTCCAGGTAAACTGCAATGGTTTCACCATAGAGGATGAGGAGCTCTCCCATCTAGGATCAGCTGTTTTTCCTGAGTAAATACTTTGCACATCATCACTGAAAGCACCCCATCCCTCCATTAAGTTCTGTACACAATCAATGTTAAGGATGGAGTTTTGATATCTCAATAATTACACATAGCCTTTATCTCCACGTCTGATTTTTCCTGTCTTTTAGGGAATCTTAATTGTTTTCTTTTTTTTTTCTTTTAGTGTAGCATTGATGAATCACAGCTGTAGTCCCAACGTTATTGTTACCTATAAAGGCACAGTGGCTGAGGTGCGAGCTGTACAGGAGATAAACCCAGGTGAAGAGGTAAAATTACCCTTTTTTTAAACAAAAAGCATATACAGGATTTAAAATGTGTTTTCATTCATATTTTATTTATTTTTACAGATCTTTAACAGTTACATAGACCTACTGTATCCAACAGAAGACAGGAGAGAGAGGCTTTTAGATTCCTATTTCTTCATGTGCCAATGTACAGAGTGCACCACCAGGTCTAAGGTATGACTGACTGCTGCCCACAAACATGTTTGTTGTTGCAGGTCTGAGAGAAGCAAGATAAAAATAATATATAAGTAAATGCTGAGAACGACAAACTAAATATATTTAAAGATGGATTCGATCAGTAAATCAGTTAAAAGCTGCTTTCTGTCAGATCTCCACACTCTCTGCCTTATACACTGTTATGATGGGATCCTGCTTTCCGCTTCAGACTGCCTCCAAACACACTGCTAACAGTTTAAAGTCCCATAAACCTTAGATCATGTAGCAGGAAATATCTGTTTTGCGGATTTTATTGATTACATATCTATTATTCAGGCAAGACTGCCTGTCACAACTCCAGTCCGGCGCGCGGATGACGTCATACACACGGCGCTTTGTTTTAAAATGTACTATTTACTTGCAAGTACCTAAATAGATTTTTATTTTCAAGGCCAAATTTTCTCTTTATTTTTTCGAAGCTTATTACTTTTCCTCTTTTAATCAGTTCCCAATATGTCTTCGGACCCCTCGCCCACTCGCCAAATGTTTTGTCCATTGTATTCGGTTTAAAATCTGATTCATTGGCTATCCATCTTAATCTAAACTGCTCTGTCAAGAACTTCTTATCTTAATATTAAAGTTTGAATGCTGGAGATAAATGCCACTCTATAGTTACTACTTGTTAACTATAAGCGTTTGGTTCTACTGGCGTTTATTTGGTTTTCCAGTAAATCAGGTTGACCACCATAGTTTTTGGTGTAAGAGTAAAAATTTTGATATGTTGATAAAGCCCTGTAGACTGCTACTATTAAAACATGATGCATGCCTGTGTTTCCTGCCTTTATTAATAGCCTGTTTAATTTTCTGTCCAGAATCTTCATGATTTTTTTCCTTTATCTGTTTCATTCTGCAGGATAAAGCAAAAATGGAGATCAGGAAGCTGAGCTCCCCACCAGAACCGAAGGAAATCCAGTCCATGGTTCTTTATGCCAAAAATGTCATTGAAGAGTTCAGAAGAGCCAAACACTATAAAAATATCCTCCTCCTATTAGTGCCTTAACAGTCACAGTTTTCCACTTTCCTCTCTGCTCTCCTTTTACTTCCTGCTCTTTGTCGCTGCTCCTTGACTCTGTTGCACGTCCCAGCGAGCTCCTAGAGATGTGTGAGCTCAGTCTGGAGAAGATGGGAGCTATTTTTGCAGACACCAATGTCTACATGCTGCACATGATGTATCAGGCCATGGGCGTGTGCCTCTACATGCAGGACTGGGACGGCGCCATGAGCTACGGCGAGAAGATCGTTCAGCCTTACAGGTAACCTATGAGCTGGGTCCTGATCCACAAGATCCAGTTTCTAAGTTTAGGGATATATACATAAAAAAAACAAATAAAAAACACACACACACACACACACACACACACAC